CTGATGCTGACCTCTAAAAGATTGAGGTCAGGAAATTGTTGCCGACCTTATTTTTCCTAATTCAGAAGGTTGATGAATTAATGACCAAACTCTTAGAATAAAAAAATGAAAACAAAAGAACCCTCTTATAATTAACCCTCTAATAATGCTGTTCTTGAAAGAAAAAACCAATGAACAAATATTAAAACCAAAAAAGTAATTAACTTTTACATCAACACAAGTTTTGTAATACTTTTAATACTTTTTGCACTTTCTTTTTAATTAGACCATTTTTTTTTTTGTAAAAATACCATCAAAGAACAAACCAATAAAAATGTATGCAGTAGAATAATGTTATGTTAATATTAAATTGATTAGCTCTAAACAGAAATTAAATGATAGCATTCCTAGGCTTAATAAAGATGCTTGTTTTAGCTGTGGTTTTATGTTTGGTTGGTATGAAACAAAACCTGCTTAGATAAAACAGTAATAAATACAGCTGTTAGAGATGTTGATAATATTTTGCCTTTAATCTGTATGATAGTCTTTTTTGTTGTTGTTTTTCTTGAATTAAATCAATCAAAAATGAAATCTAAAATAAACTAAACCAATCAAAAATGAAATGCAAAATGCAATTATGACCAATTTTTTAAAGGATTTTTCATTATAGACTAGATTTCAGTCTTGTTTGAAATTTTTAATTGGTACTATCTGATTTCTAACCGTAACCTACTTTCTTAAATGCATTAAGTTTTGTAGGACTTCTGTTTAACACCCATAATATGATGTTTAACTAAGGCAGTAGTAATGCCCCAGGTAAAGGGGTTTATTACAAAAATAAAATATATTCAAAATAAAATAAAAAAGAACACAGCGTCTTGATGCGGCTTAATAAACAAATTTTTCTCTAGTTATTAAAACTTCTACAAACAATAACAAAACATATTAAAATAGTTAAAATCGTAACAATACATCACCACTATGGTATCTTTTTTAAATGACCATAAAATAAATTAATGTGGTAGTAGACCAATAATAGAACAATCATGAGGTTCAAGATTTTTGTTTTGAAATTTAAGGTAAAAAGTTTGCAAAAAAAAAGTTTGCTTTTTCTAGGACCTATTAATTTTTGGAAGTATAAAACCAAAAGTTTTAAAACAAATACAAATATTTTATATAAAAAAAATTATACATAAATCATATAAACAAGAACAACATTGGTATTTTCAAAGATTATTTTTTTAAAATGTCATAATATGTAACTTAATAAAATAAATTAATTTAACATGGTAGTAGATAAAATAATAGAACAGATATGAGGTTCAAGGAAAGTTGAAAGACTAAAATATCATTAAAATACTTCAAACTTTCTTTTTAATTTCTGATTGCTATCATTTACTTCTAGTACTTGAAAAATGTTAACGTAATTAAAAATAGGATGTTGATAAAAATAAGTGTTTAAAAAGTCAAATATATTTCATACTACAGAATGATTTGCATATTTTTATAAATAGGGTAATAGTAACTACTATATAACTATCCTCTTTTTCTTGGAGATCCTAGAAATGACATCCAAAGACCTATTTGTTTTTTGAAATACAAAAGTCATCTTTGATCATAAATGTAAAAAAAACTATTTTATTTTTTTAAACTTTAACACAAATAGTGTCAAGCATAGCTGCTGTATGAAGAAACAAGTTGAAAAGATATTGAACAAATCAACTGATTTTTTTTTTTTATAGGTCTAACCTGACATAAACACATAAGTAGAAAACGCATTAACAAATTAGTATAATAATATTTTTACAGTTTAATAATCCTTTGAAAAATTTAAAAAATCAACCAAATGTTTCTAATTTACTGACAGTTTTAGGCATCTCTTAGGATCATTCTGCAATTTTAGCTCACAAACTGGAACAATCTTGAACAAGAAACAATAGACGCAGTCAGTATCACGCAGTTCGAAAAAAAAATTGGATGAATATTTCAAATACCAACTTTTAAATTTTACTTAATCTCATATTACCTCATTTGACCAAACTGAATTTTTACAGCACTTGATATTATATCTAATTTTTAATAAAAAGTTACAAGAAATCAACAAGACAATCTACCTGTTTATTTGATGTGTTTATAAGAAAAGTTTAAACATGAGGTTTAAATAAGTTTAAACATGGAATTATTACTATTACAACATTTTATTATTAATAAATTATAATGATATAATTTCAAAATCACTTTTTAATTCAGAAAAGACATTTTTAAAATTTTCACAACCGAATTTTTTAAAATAAATTTAACAATATAAAGAGTTTTCATTTTATCTACGATCAGTTCTCATGTTATCTACTTTTTTATAATAAACTGTGTAGCTTATTGTATGAAATGTGTAAAAAACGTTATTCAATTAAATTAAACAGATTTACTACAGTTGTATCATTAAGATATACTTTGTTACATGAAAAAACACTATACAAATATAGAGACAATCGTATACAAACATAGACCAAATACTACGTACCATGGTTCTCTTGCATATTCCTCGACCATATTTTTAAGCTAAATTAATATACAGATGCAAATAAAAATAGTTATGTAGAAAATACTCTCCTTATTTTTCTTTTTTCTCCATTAAGGCATTACTAATGTTCTTAATGCCATTAGGGAGACAAAAGCAAAATAAAAAGTTATGATTCCTGCATAATTATCATTTCTATAACTATCCTTGTAATATCATGAATCATGTATCATCATATATCATATAAATTCTACGTAGATTTTGTTATAGTTAAAAAAATATTGTAATAATTCAATTTATTTTATACATTTATTATATTCAATTTACATATACACATTTAAATATATTTTTTACGTCATTAGATTAGTAATGCCGATTTTATCAAGCAGCACAACGAGAAAGATGAAAAAACGTCAAATAAGCAGTACTAATAAGATGTACTTGGGCGTTTTAACGCCACTTTTTTTTTAATCAATGTAGACGTCAGGTTTTGAATAATTTTTTGATAGGCATTGGCCTCTGCTCTAGTCACAAAAGTACTTTTTTGACTAGACTGAATAATAGATATAAAAGACTTTTTTTTTACTGTAATTTTTTGATGTCATTAAGGTTAGAGTGTAGAGTTTATGATCTCCCGGGCAACAGATATTCAAGGGGTATGTAGGTACCTAAAAAAATAAAAAATAAAATAAGGTCCTTCACATATAATATAGGGAAAATTTGATAAATATAGGCGCCAATCAGGATTGCTGTCCCAGGCGGCGTGACAGTTTTCGGTGGCTTTCAAAATTTCAATATTTGGCATATTTCAAATATTTGGTATATTTCAATACTTGACAGCTTTCAAATATTTGGCATATTTGATACTTAAAACCTATTGGTGGCAAACATTTCTATTGTTTAAAAATAGCAAATAATTGGAAAAATCGTATAAATTACTTATTCTTCCGAAAATAGTCATTCACTTTGTACCCTGCCACCGGTAAATAATAAAATTTTTTTAGCATGTTCTGTGATGTTAATGTTTTGTACTTGCTGACCACAACTTGTTAGGGTTTGCTTTCCTATTTAAGCGAACAGTTTCATGTAAAAATAATATCAATTATACGGATGCCTGTTTTATTGATGCACGTTTCAAAAGTAATTTCAAGGAAATTAGTTAAGACACAACGAGAAAAACAAAATAAAAAAATTAAATGCTCTGAGAAAAAACAATTCAAAGATTAAAGCTTCTCAGTGAAAGGCTGTTGACATCGATGAAATATTAGCACTGATGATGGCTAATAAGATGTGGAAGTCCAATACCTATTTATAGCAATTTCTAAAACTTTTTCAGAAATTATATTTACTTTAAAGCTTCTAAATGTCTTTTAAATATTTTAACTATTTCTAAAAGTTCTAACCTTTAGAAAGTCTTTAGACGATGTTTGAAAAAACGTTGAACATAAGTTGTCTATGAGCTTGTCAACCTTTTTCTATAAAAAAAATTAAAATAAAAGCTATAGCTAAAAAATTCTACATCAAAGAGTCTGGGTCGTACTCTGGGTCTTTTTGATTCTTTAAAAATTTTTTTTTAATTATTTTATTCTTTAAATTGCTTTCACTCAGCAAAGTATTCTTTAAACAATAGTAAGTTTTAGTTTTTAACCACAGTGTACATAGATTTTTTTATGGTATTTGGTTTTCTGGTAATAGGGTATTTAGGTAAAATGCAGGGGGGGGGGTTATCACTCATCAGGATGAGGAGGGGGGGGCGCTAGTTAAATATCAAAGCATAGTCGTACTTTATCAATAACATTTTAGTTCACATAAAACGTTGTCTTTTAATTAGCTCTAGGGGAACGGCTTTAGTGGTTTTGTAGAGACTTGTATGCAAAAACGTTACGATTGGGGTTAAAAATGTCAAAGTTGCTTGAAGTAAATTACGGACGACCCTTAATATGGTTTTACGCATTCTCTAGCGTGCTTGTACATGTTAAATATTTTTGGGAAATGTTTAGCTTTTTTCTTTGAGTGCTAAAAATAAGGTTTTTTGTAGCAGGTGCCATATATGAACTTACTACTTCTGTGCTCGGGTCCTAGGGAAAAAATTAAAATCCAAATTTTTTGGGTGAGCTATGCATAAGTAGTTAACAATTTTATCGTTACACGAGTTCTTTCCATGACCATCATTCCAGATGTAAATTCAAAATTTAAAGTTGTTAACTATAGTTGAATAACTATCTTTACTATACCGGAAACATATAAATATTTTATCTGAAGCAAATCTAGTTAATTACTCGTTCTTTAAAACAGTTTTTGAAGTTTATAGCGCCAAATTTCTTCAATACAAAGTATTTTTTGAAGTTTATAGCGTCAACTTTCTTTAAAACAAAGCAAGTCTTAAAAAAAAAAGTATTAAGTAACCATGAATCAACAAAAAATTCAGAAAATCGTTTAAAGTTAAACAAAAGTTGTATATTATGTATTTTAAAAAGTGATAAAAATAAGGCAGTTTATAAAAATCTCATGAAGCATTTAGAAAATCAGAGAAAAAAAAAGTATAATTTAAAAGATATAGCAAATAATAATAATTATCAACAACTCTTATCTACGAGGCCAGGTACTGTTCTTTTTTAATTTTTGGGTGCTGATTCCAAAACACCATCAGTTTTTTTCTACCGGGTCAGGTTTATCTGATGTCCATACCAATTTTTTTTCAGATTGAAACGCATTTTCAATAATAGGAAATCTAGAAAATGACCCCTGGATCTTACAAATATACAGCTTCCCTGTAAACCTGACGAGTATATTTATTACCCAATTATCTTAATCCAAAATAAAGCTAATAAAACAAATAGATTCTCTGATAATTTTACAGTTGGAAGGGAATATACAACCAACCAAAAATATGATGATGAAAAAACTATTATGAAGTTGCATACATATGCAATATAATTGTATATATGTCATTAGTGATAAACTTCATTATATTTGTATTCAAACAATGTTTGGTATAGAATCTGTTTCAAACAATGTTTGGTATAGAATAAATATAGTAATTAAAAACATCTTGTATGCACTTGAGTTGGTACAGCTTAGAAGTCTTTATAAAAAAGATTTGAAAATCTATAAAGAATTATTTTTAATCATTTCAAAGTAAACAAACAATTGTTATTAGTTTGTTATCATTGTTATATACTAAACCACTATTAGCTCAAGAGGACGTGTAAACAACCCAGACTTGTTCTGCTACATTTGTGGACTTTTTACTCCTGTAGGACATTGCAAAACAATGATACTTTTGATAAAGACCGCATATTTTCATTATTTTAGATGGCTCATCGGTGATCAGGACAAATAATGGGCCCCCACATACTTGCTGTAGTAACTGTTCTTTGGTGCTAGCATTGTGGTTTAATGGTAGAAAAAAAAAGCATCTGATATTTTTTTTTTATCCATATTTGTTAACCGTTGTACAGCTTTAAATAACCAATAATAAAGTTAATAATATAAACTTAAAATGAAAGGAAATATAACAAATATAAACAAGGTATCTGAAACAAGATCGCAAAGATCTTGTCGTCAGAACCTTAAATAAGCATTTGACATATATATATATAAGATTAAAAAAAAAATACAATCTTTTATAAAATTGCAAGGTAAACAATCTATGTCTGAAGAAAGATAAGAGGATCTTCTTATCAAAATTTTTTTCGAGTAAACCAACATATAGATCAAAAAATAAAAAGTATAAGAACAATAAATAAAATAAGTAGAAATAAACTTCTATAAACGTAAATGTGTATATAAACAATAAAAAAGTACCAAAATATTTTTTTAACTTTTACTACTAATAATAGCTCAATGGTTTATTATCTAATGATAGAATAAGGTTTTTCAGTTTTTTTTTTAAAAGGGCAAAAAATAATAGGTACTTAAAATTAAAATTCGGCAAAACAATTTTATTTCTAAGGTATGGCACATTTGGTGTGCCTATGGTATAGCGTGAACAACAAAATCATGTTAATGATTGCTATTTTTCCATGAACAAAACTACTGGGCTGAGCTTTAAAACAAGAAAAAAACAGATTATCTAACTCTAGCAACTGCTACAAAACCAGTTCCACATAGTTCCAAGTTGCCAGTTCCCATCCCACCCGTAGACATGCAATTTGTAGCACCTTCAGAAGAAGAGGAATCGAAACAAGGAAAACCTTCATCTGATACTGAATACCAGCCTAAAGAATGTACAACTGTGCCTCATCTACTAAATCAGCAACATTTAAATTATTTGGTAAAGGAATTATCTGTCCAAAGACAAGGCAAAACAGTTACCATCAGTCTTAAACAATGGAACTTTGTTGCTGGTGATGAATTACATCCTTTCGTAGCCGAAGTTCTGAACTGTAAGGCTGTTTTCATACAGCTAATCAGCTGTGTTTCAGCTGTATTCAGATCTTGAAAAACTGTTTTCATTTTTTTGATGTTTATTGTTTCCAATAATAGTCTAAAGGCCTTGCAATTGCATAATTGAAATACATATCTAAGCATTCCAGTTGCACACTCAACTAAAGGAATCTTACGAAAACATAGTTATACTGCTGAATGCAATTAACTATGATCCATTAATTAAAATGGAAAATATGTGGCAATCTTAAAGTGATTGATTTATTGTTAGGCATGCAAAGTAACTTCACAAAATACATCTGCTTTTTATGTTTATGGGACACCCCGGCAACACTAGAGCACTACGTGAAAAAGAACTTGCCCCCGCGTGAAAAATTTACTCCAGGGCAATACAGTGTTACATCTAACACGCTGGTTGACCAAGGAAATATTTTCCTGCCATCACCTAATATAAAACTAGGGCTAATAAAACCTTTTTCAAAGCCATGGATCCAGAGAGTAATTGGTTCCAATATGTGTGTCAAATTTTCCTAGCTCTAAGTGACGCCAGAGTTTCCTAATAACCTAAATGTTAAAGAATACAGAGCCTAGAATGTTTTTAAAGATATCTACAAAAATTTTCAAGGATCACACAAAGCTCCCAACTTTTAAGATAAAGTTGGAGAACAGCTAAGTGCATATCTTGTGTATCTGTATCTGAGTGCAGATCTTGGTTTTATGATGTCTTTAAAAGTACATTTCTTGCATATCCATCTGTATTTTTTCCAGAAAACCTTGGTACAGTCTCAGACAAGCATGTAGAACGTTTTCACCAAGACATTGGTACTATGGAAAAGCATTACCAGGAACGATGAGACTCCAGAATAATGGCAGATTACAGTTGGATGCTTAAGAGGAAATTTGAAACCCCGCACATTAGAGAGTTGAAGAATTGTACTATGTAGGCTTCATGGTAAACAAAACTACAATAATAGGATTGGATGAACAGT